TGAAGCCGGTATAATTACAGTATAATTACAGTACAATTACAGTACAAATACAGTACAATTACAGTACAATTACAGTACAAATACAGTACAATTACAGTACAATTACAGTACAAATACAGTACAATTACAGTACAATTACAGTACAATTACAGTACAATTACAGTACAATTACAGTACAGTTACAGTACAATTACAGTACAAATACAGTACAATTACAGTACAATTACAGTACAAATACAGTACAAATACAGTACAAATACAGTACAATTACAGTACAATTACAGTACAAATACAGTACAATTACAGTACAATTCCAGTACAAATACAGTACAATTACAGTACAATTACAGTACAAATACAGTATAATTACAGTATAATTACAGTACAATTACAGTATGATTACAAGATGTGAGGGATTCCATCTTAATCCCTAAAGGTGACAAAACATTTATATATCTATTTTATTTTGCAATAACCGGCCAAATTTGCAAAGACGGTTAGAATAACTATTAAAGGCAAATGGTGATGAAAAATTTATTAAACTAAAATCTCAAACATTCTGTCATTTTTATCTTTTAAATTTAAAATGCGTAGTAATGCATTATTTTAACTGATTTTACTGCGGACGTACACATTCGTAAGGGTCGATCGGTAGGCAAAAACGTTGTTGCCCGTCAATCACATTCAATGTGGGATAATTTCAAATAAAAGTAAACACCTTATTTACTCGTATTTAAAAAAAAACTGCAATAACGGTATGTCATTATTTATACTTATATTTGAACTTAAGTTTAAAATTTGGCTACTCTTTGATACACATCTAACCTTATTTAAAGAAGGTTGTACGTGAAGGCTGCAGTAGCCACATACACTAATAAAACAATTATTATAAATACAATAATATTATCCAGAGCAGGGGTGTAGCTACCGCCGTATCAGCCGTATCAATGATACGGGGCCCCCGGGCTACAGAGGCCCCGAACGTAAGTAAGCAAAAATTCTAAGGACTTCTATGGGACAGTATGTTGGTTTGAATTGTTTGGCTAGGTTAGTTCTTAAGAGTATTAATTGTAAGTAATAACTTATAATCAATATATAATTATTTTACTTGAGAGAGTTTTTATTCCTTTTGTGAAAAATATTTACCCTTCATTTGGGCCCCCTGACAAATTTTGATATAGGGCCCCTCTAATGCACGCTACTCCACTGATCCAGAGATATTGGTAAATTTATCCTAAACAAAAATAACGCCCGCATAGAGCATAGAAAAACTTTAAAAGCTTCAAAAGAAAGTAAGTGAAAGTGTAACCTAGTCAACATACAGAAAAAGGAGAGTCAATAAAATATAGACGGTACTAGAAAATATTGGTTCCACGGTATGTGCTAAATGGAAGCGGATATCATTATTAATGGTGTGCAATTTGCCATTGATGAGTTTCAATAAGGGTTAATACGAGTAAATAAAAACTTTTTAACAACGTGGGAGAGCCATGCTGCAGCTATATCAGTAGTATAGTTGTAGCACGTAAAATAGCAGTTTAACGCTGCTGTGTTTCGTATGGTGAGTGTAGAGAACGGGAGACCCTTTTTACTGGAAAAGAGGCATTCCATCTTAATCCTCACGGGTGACGACACATTTGGATTTTGATTCTTTATTGAGGATAAATGTAGATGTCTATGGGTCACAGCAAACCACTTACCATCAGGTGGACCGTGTGCCCGTTTCTCACTCTATCCAATAAAAAAATCGTGGTTGCCCCTATGAGGCAGTCTGTGAGAGAGGTCTATGTTCATCAGAAGACTTTAATAAGCAGTTACGGTACGGCATCGTTTAGAAATTACACAATCGCTAACAGACGCACCAACGACTGTAATAGATATATAAAGATTGCGCCACTTTCTCCATCACTATCACTTATTATCACACTATTTTTTATAATCACCACTATCCATAAAAATATCCTGAATGTTAAATATCGCTGGATCTTCGTGTTCGTTCGTTCGTCAACCTTATCCTATAAAAAAAAAAACATTATACTCGCAATAGTAAGAATTTGTACTCGTACATCCATTGTCTACGTATTCGTGTGTCTATTTCGAAAGACTTGCACTCTTGATAGATAGGTCGGTCGTCTGAGTAGGTACCACCCATTTACTCATTTTTATCGCTAAAAAGCAGTGCGTGCACTGCTGTGTTCCAATCTAAAGATTATAGAAAGACAGTGTACTTACAGGCTGTGAGGCGATCCATCTTAATGCTCAGAGGTGACAACACATCTATAGCGTTCTTTATTAATAGTTGGCTGCACATGTCCACTGATTGCAGTAGCCACTTACCGTTAGATGACCTGTGAGCTTGTTTGTCACTTCAGCTTGATAAAAAAAATCAGATTGCATTTTCATGTTATTAGGTTGGTAAACAAATTTTAAATTACGCAGAATTATCATGGTTTATAAGTAATAATAACAAGTAACATAACTGCAATAAATCAATTTGAGCAACTTCATAAATTTGATGATGCCGTAAGGCGAAACCGGTCGGTTTTATACTGAATAAATTAAAATAAAAAAAAGAAACAAGTACATACATGTGCCAATTCAAATCTATACATATAAATAAAATTGAAGTACCTGTCTGTAGGGAAATAACTATGAATAAGCATGAAGCTACTATTTTACGCTGGTATTCTGTGAGGGCGTGGTCCTTCCCCGGTCGAGCCGACCCATTCGTGCTACAACTATAATTATTTTTTAATATAGCTGGAGCATGGCTCTACCACGTAAAATAACTATATATATAATAATTAAAAAAATAATTTAAGATAACAAAGCCCATTTATTATGTCATAGTCATAAACACTCACGCCTGTCACCAAGAATAGTAGGCAGAGACTACGTACTTCCATTTGGCACGATCGTGACACACCTCTCTCGCTTCCTTTACATCCATATACCTACGTATACATGCTCGTCGTTTAAGGATATTCTTAATCTGACCCATCTTCAATATCTTGCTAATTATAAGCCTATTTACTTTAAAAAAATCCGAAAAATCTCCAAGTTATTCGGATGAAGATGGTATAGATTTAACGTGGTAGAGCCATGCTGCAGCTATATTAGTAGTATAGTTGTAGCACCAGTGGGTCGGTTCGACCGGGGAAGGACCACGCTCTCACAGAATACCATCGTAAAGTATCAGCTTAACACTGCTGTGTTTCGTATGGTGAGTGTAGAGATCCGGAGAACCTTTTTACTGGAAAAGAGGCATTCCATCTTGGTCCTCACGGGTGACAACGCATCTGCGTTTTGATTCGCAAACGAGGATAGATATAGATGTCTATGGGCCACAGCAACTACTTACCATCAGGTGAACCGTGTGCTCGTTTGTCGCCCTATCCTATAAAAAAAAGGATAGATGTAGATGTCTATGGGCATCCACTTAACATCAGGTGGGCTGTGTGCTCGTTTGTCACTCTTATTCTATAAATACATGAACCTTTCTCATTGTAGGGAGGATTAACTGTTAACATTATAGCAAATCTCTTAAAACAATCTAATCTGGGGGCACGGCAGTGCCCTCGCCAAGTCGAGCAAAAAAGCAGCACGGCCGTACCATCCTTTTCTCGAAGAAGTTTAGGCAATTTTCGAAACCCTATAACTTCGTTGTGGATAAATCTAGAAGCCTGAATTTTCAGAAACCAAGCAGGCATTGTATAGACACGGTATATTTCAAATTTCATTCAATTTCAACTCTATCTAATTAATTTAATCAATCTAATTTAATATAATGTGTATTACTTGTGAGATACATTGTGTTTTCATGCGATGGCCAAGTCAATCTATTTATTTTAAACATAAATGATTTTTAATATTGATATGGTCACTATAAGATGTTGTTAGGTTACCTAATTACGTAATAATTTAAGACAGAAGGACCCTCAAGAATGGACTGAATAAATTAACCGACTTGGTATTACATGGATCTCACAACTTTTTACGGTAGAAGAACTGAGTTGCGAGACTTGGTTTTTGTTAGTTATGTTAAAGTTATGTTTTTGACGGTATAATAATAACAAAATATATAATAATATCTCGTCAGACATACCTCAAAACCTTAAAACGAAATTGTACACCCAGTGCATGTTGCCAGTGATGACTTACGGATCTGAGACGTGGTCCTTCACTGCTGGCCGGATGAGGAAACTCAAGGTCGCTCAGCGAGCTATGGAGAGGGCTATGCTCGGAGTTTCTCTGCGTGATAAACTTAGGAATGAGGATATCCGCAGTAGAACCAGAGGAACCGACATAGCCCAACGGATTAGTAAGCTAAAGTGGAAGTGGGCCGGCCATATAGCTCGAAGAACCGACAACCAATGGGGAAGAAAGGTTCTCGAGTGGCAGCCTTGTACCGGTAGGCGAAGTCTAGGGCGATCCCCCACGAGATGGAGTGACGACCTGGTAAGACATGCAGGAAGTCGATGGATGCATGTGGCTCATGACCGTGCTTTGTGGTATTCCTTGGGGGAGGCCTATGTTCAGTAGTGGACTTATGAAAGGCTGTAATGATGATGATGATGAAGATTGCTTATACTACCTCTACTTGGCAGTTACATATAATTTAAAAGATATGATTCTCTTTAGGGTTCCGTACCACAAAAGGAAAAAACAGAACCCTTATAGGATCACTTTGTTTTCTGTCTGTCTGTCTGTCAAGACCCTTTTGCTCAGGAACGCGTAGAGGTGTCAAGCTGAAATTCATATCAAATACTCAAGTCTACTGTCCCTTAGAGCTGTGAAACTTCTAAGCCAACGCAATCAAAAGATACAGCCATTTATGCCGCAAATTTTCGACATTCGCAAGGGAATCAAAACTCAGTGCACGAGTCCGACTCGCACTTGGCCGGTTTTTTATTTATATTCTTATATTTCTTAAAATAAATCCCTTTCGATAAATTATTTTTTTATACTTATGTGTATATTTGCTTGTCAACAGGTCAATAATGACGGTGAAAAAGGCATCCCGCTCAGGCGGGTATGCCGCCATCGTCGCCAGGCAGAAGCTACACAACGCTAACCAACAGCTAGATATGATGGCTATAAGTAAATCTTCTTTCCAAACGTACAACATCATCGTTGGCTTCAATGAAAAGGACCAACTTCAGTTACTCACGAAAGAAGATACAAAAGAAGACGAAAAACAAAAGCTAATCAAAGAATACAATGATTTTACAACTACCAAATACGAAAATATATCTATAGACGACATAGAGAACTGTGTCAATATTGAAAACTATCCCAACTGCGAAAAAACTCTAGTCTTCTATGTAAATAAGAACGTAAACAAAGAAGCCATCGCACTTCGATTCGAAAATGAGCAGGACTTCAAAAGAATATACTTCACATACAAGTATTTTAGAATGCGGAATCGACTGACTAAAAATACATATAATTATTCCAGTAGCGATAATTTATTCTCTAAAAAGAAGACGAACGAGTTGTTCAAAAGCAGAAAAAACAGCGTCGATGACTACAGTTACGATAAAACGCGATCGGAGTTTGACTTATTGCAAACGGTCGATAGCGATGGTGTCACACACATATCTGTACAGCAGAAGGGCTCGAGTCGATTCGATCAACCTCTTAGTCTGATTGGATTTAAAAGCGACGTCGGCGACACTGGTGAGATTGATAGTATAATCTACACGGATATTGACATACCAACGAAACCAGAGAGGAAGAGGTTTTTTCACAAAAAAACGAAGGCACCTTCTCCACCACTCCTGCCCAGTAAAGACACCCCGAAAGTTCTTAAAGGTGAATTTGTCAGAGTAAATGTTGACAGAGCACCTGACGTAATACCTAAGGACAATAAACAAAACAAAATACCCGATATTTTAATGTTTAGAGATAACAAACCGAAAAGGATTAGCAGTCTATGGACAGCGACTAATAAAGGTGAGTTGGTACCTTTTTTGTTATATTTAAAAAAAAATCCCTCGTACATTTTAACTATGTAGAAATCCTTTTGATATAATATAATAAAAGGTATATTACGTTGCTTCTGGTTTTATAATGTCCATAGTTTTATATGGGCTGATTTTTCGATGGTCAAATAAAAGTTATTAAATGAAATATAACCTGACTATAAAAGTAAAAAATTTGTTATTAATTCTATAAATAACCATTATTTAATGATAAAAATGTTAAAGTTAATATCTAAACTAATAAAGGCTTTAAGGGTTGCCGGCTTATTTGTACATATTTGTTGATAGAAAAGATTATTTCCCCACAAATAATTACTTAATTACTTTAGACAGGTAGCAATAATGATTAAGCAATAAAGCAAGTCCATATTGCAAAGGATATCACTAGATCACAATCACAGTGTCTTACAAGATAGGTCGGTGTAATAGTTAGTTCGCTGTAAAAGTAATGTAACTTTATGTGCTTGCGTAAGACAGATAAGAATATGTAATAAGAAAACCTGAAACAAATGTGGTAAGCGTTAAAAAGTTACGCGTTAGTTATAAATCAAGATCATCCACCATCCTCATTTTTATACGTGGTAGAGCCATGCTGCAGCTATATTAGTAGTAGGTATATTGTAGCACGAATGCGTCGGCTCGACTGGAGAAGGACCACGCTCTCACAGAATACCAGTGTAAAAACGTAAAATAGCAGCTTAACACTGCTGTGTTTCGTATGGTGAGTGTAGAGAACCGGCGACCCTTTTTACTGGAAAAGAGGCATTCCATCTTAGTCCTCACGGGTGACAACGCATCTGCATTTTGATTCCCAAACGAGGATACATGTAGATGTCTATGGGCCACAGCAACCACTTACCATCAGGTGGACTGTGTGCTCGATTGTCATCCTATCCTATAAAAATAAAATTGATAAATCAAGATAAATATATTATTATCTTACGTTTTTGACCTCAATAACCATAGATAGGCAAAGAGCAAAATATTTTGCTTTTGCTGTATCAAATAAATTAAATATTTTAAATGCAATGCGGGTTACAAATGATTGAATTTAAATTAGGTTTCTATTCTATTTACAAGTATGTTTCATGTCCTTGTTGTGGTAGAAGGTTATTTCTATCTTTGCGAATGGCTATAAGGTATACGGTAGTTTTACTTTTACAAAAGGACAATTTAGAGGTTTTCGTGCACCTTATCGCGACATCACTTTGTTTGTTCAGATGCTCTCGATAAAAATATATGACTAATCGTGAAAAACTTAAATATAACTTATTTGTATTCAATGTTTGCTTTTTATTCTTTGTGTTATTAATTTTATTATCCTACATTGTACAAAGACTGTATTTATTATTTACTGAAGTTAAAATAAATCTATGGTATTATATATATAGTATTATATATATATTCAAGACAACGTGCTTTGTAGTTTGAGAATATATATGTAATAATGTAATTGACGAAAAACCATCCCACACATGATATTAAATTACGTACCTTCATTAAATATAATCAGCCAGTGCTTAACTATTATCCCACCTATTCTATAGAATTGACAAACGATCTTAGCGTCCATAGATAATATAGGGCATTAGTGTTCATCTGTTAATCTTGTTAGTAGTAAGCGCGGATTAGATAATATGTAATAAGTAATAATTAACCTCGTTAGTAATAAGTTGCCCTTTTAATTTTTTCTAAGTATATCATTTTTAATAATTTAAAATTAAAAATTTTGTACAGCCGACTTCAATATAAGTTATTTAAGAATAACTTAAAAACTATTGGTCTGACCTTGATCAAATTCATATGGGACCACACGAGAAGTACCAGCTTTCAAATAAATAAAAGAATCATCGAAATCGGTTCACCCAGAAAAAAGTTCTGAGGTAACACACATAAAAAAAAACGAAAAAAAAAACATACAGTCGAATTGAGTACCGGCTCCTTTTTGGAAGTCGGCAGAAAAGCCTCTTATCGTTTCCATCTATACCAGAACATTAATGTTATGTTAATTGTCCAGTATATACCGTGTAATAATATCCACTATCTCATTTTTTTTTATAGTATAAGGGTGACAAACGAGCACACAGTCCACCTGATGGTAAGTGGTTGCTGCGGCCCATAGACATCTACATCTATCCTCTGTTACAAATCAAAATGTAGATGCGTTGTCACCCGTGAGGACTAAGATGGAATGCCTCATTTCCAGTTAAAAGGGCCTCCGGCCACCTGCACTCACCAAGCGAAACGCAGAGGTAAACCTCTACTTCACGCTGGTTTTCTGTGAGGTCGTGGTACTACCCCGGTTCGAGCCGGCCCATCCGTGCGACAGCAAAAGCTGCCGCGTGGCTCTACTACTGTTAATCATATCGTAAGAGGTGACATAGGCAAACAAACCAGATGGGCAGCAGCGTCTTCCTAATACATACATACATATAATCACGCCTCTTTCCCGTAGGGGTAGGCAGAGACCACTTCTTTCCACTTGCTACGATTCTTACATACTTGTTTCGTTTCGTCCACTTTCATTATTCCCTTCATATATGCTCTTCGGTTTAGGGTACTAATCATAAATAATCACTGCGTTTGTTCATGCTACCAATGCTTCAGAGTAAGTACAAGCATATTATATGCATATGGGATTGTGACCATGGGATTGTGGTAAAAAATGTTATTACTCTCAATCAGATAATATATGTCATAACCAGTGGCGTAGGGTGCCTTAGATGGGCCCTGTATCAAAATTTGTTGGGGGGCCCCAATGAAGAGTAAAGATTTCATAAAAGGAACAAAAACGCTTGCAGTGAATTAAAATTATTATTCAAACAATTCAAATCAAATATACACTTTTGTTGCCTTTTGTTCGGCGAACATAGCTGAAGACGATTCGGCGGCATTCATAGCTGAAGACGATTTCAGTTTTACTAAATTCTTTGCTTATGTAGACAATAGTGATAGCCTTTCCTATCCCATAGAAGTCTTTGGAATTTTTGCTTACACACGTTCGGGGCCCCTGTAGCCCGGGGGCATCGTATCATTGATACGGCTGATACGGCGGTAGCTACGCCCCTGGTCATAACCTAAAATTTCATGAACTACCGTCGAATTTCGATCACTAGACGGCCGTCTAGTACTAGACTAGAAACAATAATGTAAAAATGTAAACTTAAGGATTTTATAGTGTATATGAATTTAATAATGCTGGCAAATTATTCTACACCATTTCCGTACGCGTTACCAATGGCGAAGCAAGCAAGCCCATTTTTTAATAGGATAAGGGTGACAAACGAGCACACAGTCCACCTGATGGTAAGTGGCTGCTGTGACCCATAGACATCTACATCTATCCTCGATGAGATTAAAATGCAGACGCGTTGTCACCCGTGAGGACTAAGATGGAATGCATCGTTTCCAGTAAAAGGGGTCTCCGGTTCTCTACACTCAACATACGAAACACAGCAACGTTAAGCTGCTATTTTACGCTGGTATTCTGTGAGAATTCGTTTCCAACCATAACGACATCTTCAAATTAATCGAAAGTTTTCAACAGCGGAAGAGATATTAAAGTGCCACAACATGTGCGTACGCACAAACAGAAAGGACCACCCACGCTAACCTACTCGATCGGATTGCATTGATCACAGACGGACGGACAATAGGGTTGCCACCACATAGGGTTGCCACCATACTATATAATTTAATATCCTACTATATTTTTATTTTGTTTATTTGCTTCAGACAACAAAGACCCTTAAACAAATATATATGTAGATATATAAGATACTATTTAACTTATATATTAATACTATACCCTACCACTATTGTACACGTATTGTCTGCGCCGTGTTTCACTGAGTGGTATCACGTAACTTATTAAGGGTCCCAATATTGTAATTCTAAAAAAAATATAATAAGCGATATTGTATTTTGCTAAAGACTGACAATAACGGGAGGCTGTTTTTTTTATTAAAAAACTACTAGTAATGATATCAAACATTACTAATATTCCCTTTAACCACTTCTGGTAAGCTTAAAATACTTGTGTTAGAAGTGGTTCACGACAGTAGTCGAATGGCGAATTCGAACCCACGACCATTCAAGTTCGCAGTCCGCGCTCTGCCATTAGGATACTGACGCTTATAAAGGCACACAGCGGCATATATTTTATAAAATAAATTTAAATTTGAAACATGAGCACAACCCATATGTTTCAAATTAATATTCAAAATAATATAATATTTAATATAAATATTTGTCAATCTTAGTCGACAATCACGCCATAAGCAGATCCTAAAACGACAAAATTTTAATGTTGGTTCTCTGAATAAGTTGGGTACTCAGTGTTCTATATTAATGTTAAACCTCCGTGTGTTAAATACTCCCGGCAGGCCTCCCGCAATGCCTGTAAGTGTGACAGAGTGCAACAGGCGGCGCGGCGTCTTGTTTCCCCATTTTCTGCCGACTTCTAAAAAGGAGACGGTAGGTACTCAATTCGACTGTATGTTTTTTATGTGTGTTAGTTACCTCATAACTTTTTACTGGTTGAACCGATTTCGATGAATCTTTTTTTATTTGAAAGCTGGTACTTCTCGTGTAGTCCCATATGAATTTGACCAGGGTTAACTTATATTGAAGTCGGCTGTACAAAATTTTTAATTTTAAATTATATTGCACCGCGGACAACGAGTGTTTAACATTAGTAGATTCACAATAATAAGAGTAGTCTCTCCACTACTAATACAAATGCAAAAAAATGACCACTACCTTAAAAATGTAATCTCATATTAAGTAGAAGTCTGTGATTTCATATGACGTATGGAAAGAAGCCAAGGTCGCGGATGAAGCGCAAAGTGCCTAAGCTTGCGTAACATGTCGGTCGTTCACTTGTAATCAATTAACCAGGCAAGTTTTAATGACGATTGTTTTTATTTAAATTTAATTTGCGTCGTCTAATTCCGATCAAAACAATCTAAA